TAAAGGCAGAAATCAGTATTACCTAGAATACCAGCTCCTATTCGCTGGAAGTCCACCGACCAATCATTTCGTCAGTTTAGACGAGTGGTGCGTACGGCTTCAACGCTTGAAGCCGTAGCTCTCTCGTCTTCAGAACACGATTTAGAATTGCGAAGTCAAGTGGGTCCGATTTCTTGTGTATAATGCACTAGAGATTTGGACGGCTTGGGGAAATTCCCCGGACACCAGGGCAGAGAGTGCCAGCGTTCAAACGCAGACTCCCTTAGCTATGAAGCTTTGCGAAGATGGCCTGCTTCTATGGGCCGGAGCTTTCGGCAGATTTGCAAGGACTGATGGTCATACTAAAAGTTATGCAATTGGCTCAGTGGCACATAGTGAACGTCGTGTCACTGCTGCTTGGAGCTAACCCGACGGGGATTACTCATGTTGTGTTCTCCACGACACCCTATTGAAAAAAAAAATCACGAATTTGTGGTCGGATATTTCAATTTGTCCTAGATAAGCCTAGATGTGTAAGTCGAATTTGTATCAAGCGCATTGATGAAAACTGTATCCCTTAAACATTCGCAGTGTTTTGCCGACAGTCGTTGGGTTGCCACCTGACTTTCTGGTTGAAGCCAAAATTTCCTTGGATGTCTGAGCGCTTTCTATTTTTTATTCTCTTCTTGAGTACAAGGATTAAAAATGACATGCGCGTCGTTTGAAGGATGTGAGTACTGTAGTGCTCTTCCTAATGAAACGACAACCTAGTTCATCCATTTGTAATGAGTGCTCAACCATATTAGGCTTGACTGAGGATCGGCACAATCCATTGTCTCTTGCTCTTTTATTGACTGTTCTCTGAACGTCAAGTTTGTTTTTGTTATTGCTGCATTTCTGAAATGATGCCAAGAGTTAGATCGAAAGTGCATCCTCATTGCTCAGCACGCACACGTGTGACGGCTCCATCCAATTTAACAAGAAAGGCGAGGAGTTACGCTAGCATACAGTCACCTGCATCTGGACTTCGTAAAGCTGGACCTGCAGGTGATGACCGCTGGCGGTGGATTCTTAATTATCCGCGTATCAGCTTTATCGTTCTTTTCGTTGGTTGCACTTATGTCGGTGGCATCTACTTCTCAACAAAAGTAACTACCTGGACTCTAGACGTGCTTGGTTTTCAAAATGATCTAACTGCTACACGGGAAGTGTATGCAAGTTCAAGTCGACTTTTGAACACAATCGCAGAGTGCGTCAATAAAAGCTCGCTTGAGTATCTGGCTGGTGCAAAATTGCAATTTGAAGCTGACAGCAAACGCATCCAGAAAGTAATTGATGCTAATGATGTCGCGCTTACCAAGCAACGAAACGCAGTAAACAATTGTACGTCAAGCGTGATAGTCGCCTCATTTGCTATCTATTGTCAACTGACAAAACTTTTCAGGTTCGGAAACCTTTCTTGCCAATTTAAGAAAGCAAAGTACACTCAGCAAAGCCAATTCCACGCTGAACTGTTTCTACGACAGTTTTTATGACCATACACCTGAAACGCATGCTGTCTCATCTTCTAGAGCACTGGTAATTGCTGTCCGTACAATATTGACAACCCAAGCTGTGTCGACAGCAAGTGACAGTATATCGAAGCAGCAAGCACAATTGCAGAGTCAACTTATGGAGATGTGGAATGTCATTGACACAATCAAGATCTCGGTCGAAAAGACACTTGAGGTCACGTCCTTCAACGCAAGTCACGAGTTGGACTCGCTGACACCTATACTTTTCAATAGCAATGGAAATAGTCTTTTAAAACAGTCGGCCTCCCGCCTTGGTCGTTTAAGCAAGATAACGTCGTCAAGTCTATCAACCCCGTTGACTTTGACATCGTATACCGGCTTAGAAACAATGCAAAAAGCTGGCAGAACACTTCATAAAGCACTCAAGTTCCTCGCAGAACTTCACGCTGGTTTTACACACATCCTGAATACTGCCGACGAAACCTGGGGGCTGCTGGTGATGCGGCTTAATGCTACTATACAACAAGCTGTCTCACTTCAAGAAGAGCTCGAATACGCCGTTCAATCTACAACACAGCAGATCAATCGCACAACCGTTGCAGTAATGACGAGCTTGAATCAATCGCAAAAGGAGATTTCCGACACGTTTGACATTTTGCACGAAAAGTGGCAAGTTGCAGTTAGAAATATGGTGAGCAAAGGTTTCGCGCCATGGCAACGGCTTGGCAACCACTTTGTAGCCGAGCTGACGGCAAATCAGCGCCAATCGGATCGAATGGACAATTCCATTCAGCGCAGATATATTTTGCCAGACCGAACTTCAAACTCAAGCTTGAAACAAGAGCACGCAAAACTATCATATCACGAATTTCAACATCCCGCGAGCTCATCACCTGGAATTGCTGGTGACAACGATGACTTTGACATTGCTGTATTGCGAGCCTCGCTGGTGGATATTGGAGCAATAATGACACAATTCATTTTTTATGTAGATGTTGGTCGTCTCTTTCTACTAGCAGCAGATCTTGCAGTTGGACTTATCACGGAGTCTTATTCTGACATGCCAACGCTGGATATTCGAGGTATCACTAAGGTCGACACGATTGAAAATATTTGCGAAGTTTTTCTTTGCCGGCACAGCTTTTCCGCGGTTTGCTTTACACTTTTAGGGAAAGCCTCTGAGATGATGCATGTTTTCGTGACCTTCGTCATAGTTTTTTCTGCTGCTTCATTCATCACTGTAGGATTATTTTTGTGGAAGAGAGACCACAATACGCATTGTATAAGAGCTGGAGAAATGCCGACTTCGCCGACGACCATTCAGCAACTCACCCGAACATTTTTCGACAATGTTGGCATTAGTGGCAAATTTGTGGCCGATCCACTGATCGAGATTCAGAAGTACGCTACAATCATCAATAATTCGCTGCGCAACGACTATGCTGCTCTAAACCTGGACTCCGCTGTCGTGTGGAGAAACCAGTCTGGCTTACATAAAGATTTGAATGATAATACGATAACTACAAGCAGCTTGGTACGAATGCTGCAAGATTGTACTGGACAGATTGGTGATAATTGGATGACTGATGATGGTGATGCTTCGCTATCAAGTCAGTGTTTTGCTAACACACTGAGCAATACGTCTGCGATTGTATCTCTATCCTCCGATACAGAAAAACTCAGTGCAAATGCGCCCTTTTTGACCTCATCCACCGTATTCTTGTCGTGTTTCCCAAATCATGAGTCATCACTCAAGGAACGTGAAGCAGTTGTGGCAAAACTGCAGCACGATCTCTCGTGCGCCGCGGAAAAGGCTGTGTATCTCTCTTTTGCATCATGGTGGTTGTTTATAGTTATTCTCGCTGTAAATCGTTTCATTGTAAGGATGGTCATCAAATCAGCAGGTGTGTATTGGTGGCGGTTCTTGAGTGCCAATCGCCTCCAATTTGTAGGCTTTTGCCAGGAAAATGGAGACATCGAGGCCAGTGACAAGCTATCAACGGCTATTAAGCGACACCTACGGGATGCAAAATGGCAGATCATTGGTCGCTTTGTTTGCGTCGGATTCAGCTTACTCTGCGTCATGTGTGTAATTATCACGATTTTTTATGAAGTGGCATAGGTAACAACAGACTACTTGATGTTTGATCATTTGCAATAGTTGCTCGTCCAACTTATTACTCAGTTGCAATAATCTCTGTCTGACCGTACAATACAGCACCGAGCAAACTATCAACTTCATTCCAGCTTTCCCCTATCTCTTCTACAACAGCTTCAGCCGCCTTTGCAAAGCACACGCGAAATGCACGCACCTCAATAGCTTGTAGTGTCACAGACTTGCCAGCCACTGGGAACGAAGTAGGAGTCCAACCATACGTTTCGTCTGTCGTCTTCCATTGATTGCCGGCTTGCCCCTTCACAGAAAGCTCTTTCGTCCCAGATAGAAGGAGCTCCGTCACCTCCGTTACCTTTGAATTTTTTACTGAAAACAAAGACGAAAAGTCCACAGTCACTGGCTTCGACAATTCTAAATGCTCACCCACAGCATATAAGTGTGATAGACGCACCAGCAGACAATGCTTTGTCAGCTCTTGCAACGTCGTCAAACCTACATTAGCTGGAAATTCACTAACTGTAAGCCACGGAACCTTCGCCTCTATCTTTGAAGAAACGGATTTGCGATACACCGACAGCGGACGGAAGAACTGAGATTCCATTTTAGAGCGAATGCTGCGCATGCCTTCATTAGCCGAATCCACGTTTATATAAAAGTTGCCGCGAGCCACAAGACCCTTTGTCTTTTGCTGCTTCGTGGCCGAATCGTACACAGATTCAGTCTCGTTCAGATTTTCGTGCACACCTTTGTTATCATCAGCTAGCAAACGACGGTGCACCATCACTTCAACTTGGCCGTCCACTAAACTCGCTGCTCCTTGCGCACGGTCCGTTACCACGTTCAACTGGACCTTTGCATCCTTTATGTAAGCCCCACAGGTGATTGGAAAATAGTTTGCCGACACCGCTTCTTCATCGTCATGCAAAGTCAAATTCCACGTGTCACGGTGGTTGCGCACACGCTTCATAAACTCAAGTCCATTTGAGTCTGTGAATAGCGTCGCATTTGACGCGATGCTATTGCCGGCGTCGAAGCGAACGATCACTTCCTTGCCTTTGTTGTCATCGATGGGAACAGGTCCGATAGTCCATTCGATTTCCAGAAACTCATCATCGTCATTCACGCGGTACTCAAGCGTGACCCAGCTGCCAATTTTGAACGCCACTCGGGGAACGCTAGTCCGGCCAACATTGGTAGCGGCACTAGTGATTAACTCAACCATTGTCACAGATGACAATGTGTCTTGTCTGGCATCATCAACTTTTTCACCAGTCACGGGATACGTCTTATTCGAGTCAGGACGGAATGCATATGCGCCAGACTTTGCACCGTCGCCTTGGTATGCTTGGTAGTACGCCACATCAAATGAAAGTGGAATCTGAATATTCTCCCTCTTGTTAGCGAGTTTCGTGATTGAGCCCGTGACCTTGCTGATCTCAGCTCGGACTAAGTTATTCTCCAACACCACCACATCATTGCTCGAATTGTCAGTGTACGCGCTGACTCGTTCATTGTCTAGGTCTTTCTGCTTCACTAAAAATCTAGTGGTGCTCAATGGCTTCAGCTCAGTGCTAAAAACAAGCGAGTACGGCGCCACTTGCGTCTCAGGGTGCACTGGTAGCGCGACATATACATTCTGGTCACGAACGTTGGCATTACCGGACAGAACCGTCACTATCGCTGACTTGCGCGTGATGGGGATCGATATTGTCTGCACGCTCGTTCGTGCCAGAGCGTTGTGCACTAGCACTTCAAAATTCGTATTTTGGGTTGATATGTTGCATACACTCGTGTTGGCTAGCAGACAAAAGCGATAAGACTCTTTTTCTCCAATTACAAATAATAACTCGTTCAGTTCCTTCTCAGCCTGGAGAATACCATCATATAAACGCAGTGTATAATCATCGGCGACAGTCTGTTTCTCCGTTCCAGAGAGACCGTCGTGATGCTGTACCAGACCCACAGCACGTTTCAATGCAGTCAAAGGACTCGAGTGGTGACTTTGATAGACTGCGTCGAGCTGACGAACTTGCTGCAGCAGCGTATTTGCCACTCGAGCAAAGCGCTTGAACGTCGGACGACTGCTGTAAAAACCCGACCAGTAGTCATCTCGAGCTGATCCGTAGGGTAAGAAGTCGTCTGTTTTTACGCTCCACGTTATTCCTTCCTCTCGCTTCAGGTCTGTGTAGTACGACAAATTCGAGTACAGCACATTCACGCGTCCGTCTTGATTGACGTAGTGGAGGATCTTGTCCATGTTTTTATACCATCGTCGCGAGTTGTCAAATTGAAAGTCACAGCCCATGGGAATGAAAACGTGATTGCCCTTGGTCGCATCTCCACGCATCTTGGCATTCTTAACAAATGCCTCAACCTCATCACACACGTCAAAGTCGTGGAGTTCAGCGTCGTCTTGAATCTGATTTTCGTTTTTACCAAAATCAAACTTTCCAGGCGGACAGTAATGGTCAATAATTTCTCCAGTAAAGATTTGTGATGCCTTGCCGCGCGACTTGCTGGGACGCCAAATAAATTCAAGCTCCTTGTTTTTCTTTCGGTTTCCATAGTCTTGGTAGTCAATACGAGCAAAGTATAGAGCATCGAAGCCTATACCTTGCGACAGTAGTGAGCCTTGTGTGGCCGAGTGTCCAAACGGATCAATTTGCCACCCTATACGCGGACTGATACCGAATTCATCCATGAGTAGCTGGTGACCGTACGACGTCTGATCCACCATGGCAATGTAATGCGGTGTAGCTTCATCGTGCATACACCATCCACCATTGACTGTAAGATCCAAGCGACCTTCACGCACGAGCTGCTTGACGACGTTACGTACTTCAGACCCCTGTTCGTGCCACCAGCGCTGGAAGAACGACTGTTCTACGAACATAAACTGGCGGTCTGGGTTACGAATGAGTTCCTCTACTGCTGTGTCAAGAATGTACTGTACTCTCTGGACGTAGTATTGATCCACATTTATGATCCATCCAGGATCGTCATGCGAGTGTGCAATAAGATGCACATTTAACTTGTCCGGGACCACACGGCTTGACGTGTTGTAAACCCCATCAGTCGAAGGCGTCCATTTTCTTGGGTCGCAGGAGGCGGCGGCGGCAGAGCCAGCACACAGAGACGTCACAAGAGCTTTTATCACGAGCATGCAGATCGAATTTTGTATGGTTTTGTGAAAGGGAGAGATCAGATTTCGCGATCTTTTACTTCAACTCATTTATTTATACAAATATACTGACTCACGACGAAAATATGAATTGAGGGTTAAAGATACTAGTTCTGATACATATGCACGCCATCGCCCTATGCCATCACTAACATTATCTTAAACTCAGCAGAAATTTCAAGAGGACGACTAGAGGAAAAATGGTGCACATCATGTCTTCGCATACAGCAACCAGCTACTCTATTTAGGCGGTCATTTGATACAAATACCTGAATACTGCCAAACTGAGTACAAATCTTTCGCTTTGGTGGAAAAAGCTATCCTGGTATTTGCTCTGAGACTTCCTAAAACTGCGTCACGAAAAAGTGTTTGTACAAAATGTGAACTCCAAACAGAACAGCGTCGAATTTGTTTTTCAGTGTTTATATACGACATTTGTTAAGAAATCAATCTTGTCTTTTTTCTTGTTTGATTGCTCCTTGAGCACCTCATCTATAAGCGCCTTCTCGGGTCTTGCAGAATCGTGTACACTGTACCAATGTACACAACACAGAACAGAGCTGATCACTGAAGAATTTCATAATACTTTATCCATAGGAACACTAACCGCATCCGAAGAATCGATATGTATGGCGTCCAAATTTGTACGTCTCATACTCTGTTTACCATCCTCTTATTCATGTCCGATGTATCGTTCATGCGCCACATGTAATCGATCGCGCAGAATGGTGCTTAATATGTAGTCAGCTTATTTGCATAGACAATATAACAGGTTCGCGCCTCACTGACTCTGCTAACATATGTGTGCATCTCGCCTCATTAAATCCCAGGCAAGGCTAGCAGGAGTTTTCGACTATAGTAATTGGCAACTTGCTATTGATGGTAATCTGAAGGTCTATTCCAACTTCTCTTCAAACTCGATTATCCACTTGACCAGCCACACAACGTCATCCTTGGCTGTTCATGGTGCCTATGCTAAAATGTTGCCAACCAAACTCGAGTCTTCTATTACCCTTTAGCTAAAACTTTCAACTCTACTTTCGTTGACGGCTTCGTTTTCATCGCGGCTAGCCAACAATTCTTTAGGCTTGATATTTGTGCGTTCAAGTGCTCTTTCGGTGAGGTTTATGTACTAGTTTTCAATTGCCATCAAGCAAAAATTTGTCTAAAGCGAATTTTCCGACAATTTTGTCGTTATGGACTCTCGGCGCCTCCAGACACTTCTAATATGCCATGTACAATTGCAAGTTACGTTTGAAATCGTCCCAGTGTATCAAAGATGCCTCGACCACCGTTTTGTCTGATATTGCGAAAGCCGCTATGCTCAGATCGATTTAATATGAAATAATGTCGCTAATGTGACAGGGCGGATGGCAAACGTTGCATAAAATCCTTCATGCGGTTTTTATCGGTCAAATCGGATCAATCCGGCATCGCGTGCAATCGCAGAAATATCCACTATTGGTTGTCACTAAATTAGTGGGGTATAAGGAGCTCGCAAGCTAAATCTGGAAAGAGATGTCAACCGGCGTGAATAGAATCGAAGCGAGAGCCGAGACAAATCCAAGTTACATACTATGATGCCAAATTGGTATACCGCAACTTAATCAATATACATTGGTGGCCACACATTAAGACTTAGGCGTGCCCAATATTGTCGTCTGTTCGTCGACCCTTCTGTACTTATTTTCTACCACGATACAAAACTACTTTTCATGTAAAAAAAGGTAGGGTGTTTGCATAACGCAGCTGGTATATATGTTGCGAAATGATTCATGGTCATGTGAATGCGAGCAGTGGGCGTGATGGAGTGCTAAATCCTAAGGCTGCAAGTCTCGTCTTTTCCCATTTGCGTTAGCCAATGGAACAAAGGGTTTCAGACTCGCAGTTTTGTCAAAGTCCCCTGGCCCTACCACTCTTTACAGGGGGGACCATGTCTCTATCGCTATCTCTTAGCACTCACTTCGCGATTTTCTTAGGTGTTGCGGTAACCCATTTCCTGCCACGCTGACGTCGCCATGCCGCTTTTGTTGCGACCCACAGCACCAAGCCCAAGCATTGACGAACTTGTTTTTGCGGCATCAGTGGCCCCATTTTCTTTGCAGACATCACAACGGGCTGTGTCCTTGGCCCTTTCAGAGTGTCCCACACACGGTCAACTCTCGCAACACCGTCGTCGTAGCACTGCTAGCGCTGAAGTCGATCTTAACGGTGTATTAAATGATACTATTAAGAAATCGAAACAACATTTGGCTTGTCGTGTTAGCCAGCCGAGCCTGCGGTGCAGTAGTGGACTGACGAAGGTTAAAGGCACTGTCGACATGGACGCCAACTTACGCGACTTAAAGCTCTCAGCGCACGAATCGCAACTTGATGATGATAATTTGTTCACTGACGGTAGCTGTGCATCCGAAGTCGAGCGCAATTCAAGCTTGATGAGCTGCAGTTGTTCCTGTGCGGATGCGAATGAGTTTGCCATCTCTTCTTCTTCGATCGTCATTGAGGATTGTCAGCTTGCTGTTGTGGAAAAAGAGTTGCTTGATCTTCGCAAGACGCTTCTACGTAAATTGTGCTCGCGACTCACGAAACTTACCACCCTTGCTCGCAGAAAATCTATCTCCAAGCCAATTCATTGAAAGGCTGTCTACTTGGTCATATGACGTCAGCGAAGAAGAGGTAAAATGCTGCGTGGGTGTAGTCAACAATATTTATGCAAATTGTTAAAGAGTAAATTAAAATGCAAGGATTAGCTTCTTCTTCATGCATTTGGATAGAATGTTACGCATAGACTTCAGCAATTCCTGTGCTACCACTATTTGTCATGAAATATTTTTAACTTTTAGGCACAATGAAAAACCACTTCGTCAGCTGACTGTTATATGCTGAGAGGCTTGCGACCAGAACGTCGAATATGAGCTTGATACATCATTGTGGAAACTAATGTAAAGACAAACACCAGTGCAACCACAAATGCTATTATCTGCAATCGCATGATCTGTTACACGAGCCAACGACACATAGGTATCACACGATTCAGCAAAAAGTTCTTTGCGTCATTAATATTAAAACGATTGAACACACCCGTCGGGAGTTGATGTCTGCAATATCGGACGGATTCTTTTGCTGACGTTTGAGGCGCTCGCTCATTTTAGAGTAGCGCTCGCCATTGTAAATTGTAGGCCCTAGGGCTACGTCAACACCGCGCTGACCTGGCTTTGAAATGCCCGTTGCGCGGTTCCGCAATTCCATATTCGTTATCACAGCACTTGTAGGATGAACTTATGTTTGCCAGCTTTAACTAGACAAAAGTATGTGCGTTTTTGACAAATTAAAATGATTTACGATTTTCTCAAAGAAAGGCACAGTCTCGATTCAGTCACCCCTTTAACATAGACTTTTTCGTGTCTGCATGAGCGAGTGGTGGGCTACCATCGGACAGCCCTTCGCGGAGGTAGGTGGCGATTTCCTGTGCATGGATAATATAGCTAAGTAATTTTTGTGATACGTTCGCATTTTTTTTTTCAGGCGCTGCTGAGTCTGGATTTCGTTAGGATTAAGGCAGCATTTGCAAACGCGCCCAGATCATACTACGATTATATCCGCTCCATCTACGAGCGCAGCCCTGAGCACGTGATCATCGAGACATTTCTCATCGTGTTTGTAATTTACATCACGTTCGTTAAGCGTGACAAACCCAAGGGCACTGCCTCCAAACTTTCGGAGCGTGAGATTGATGAGTTATGCGAGGAGTGGACCCCTGAACCTATTATTCCCCCCAATGTTGTCGTAGACCCTACGAAAACTATGCCTTTAGGCATCGTCGAGGCCACACCCGATACGCACATTAAGCTGCAGGGTTTTGCGAAGTCGGCCATCAACTTGGCCACATTCGACTTTTTAGGCATCGGTTCACGTCCAGAGCTTAAAGAAGTCGCTATTAAGACGCTTACAAAATATGGATGCGGGTCCTGTGGCCCCCGCGGTTTCTATGGCACTATAGACACACATGAAATTCTCGAGAAGGACATCGCGCAGATGATGGGGACCACCGACTCGATAACCTTTTCGGACACGGAGGCTACCTCGTCATCAGTTCTGCCGGCGTTTGCAAAGCGTGGCGACCTTATAGTCATGGACGATGGCTGTAATGATTCGATTCTTGTAGGTGCCAATTTGGCGCGTTGTAGCGTATTATACTACAAGCACAACGACGTGGAAGATTTAGAGTGTGTACTTAAAAATGTACGCGATGAGGACAAAACAAAGAATCGAGGATCGGACTGTCAACGCCGCTACGTTGTAACTGAGGCACTCTTTCGTAACCACGGTGACATGGTGGATCTGCCTAAGGTAGTAAAATTGTGCGACAAGTACTTTTTTCGTCTCTTTCTAGACGAAAGCTTTTCATTTGGTGTGCTTGGCAAATCTGGACGTGGCCTAACGGAGCATTACGGTATGGACGTTTCTGAGGTAGCTATTATCTGTAGTTCTCTGGCGGGCTCTACCGCCAGCGTTGGTGGCTTTAGCACGGGCTCGCAAGAGGTTGTGGACTATCAACGTATTAATACCGCTGGCTACGTGTTCTCGGCTTCGGCTCCGCCATTCACGTCAGCCTGCTGTTCCGAGGCCATTCGCATAATGAAAAATGAGCCGGAGCTATTTATAAAACTCCGTGACAATGCTAAACTGGCGCATGACATTTTATCTGCTGGCGTGCAGGGAGTGTACAGCATCTCGAAGGCGGTTGTTTCTCCCATCCTACATTTGCGCTTGCTGCCTGAAGTTGTGGCTTGCGTCGGTAGTGTGGATGATCAGCGCAATTTGCAGCGTGAAGTGTGTGACACGGTTATGCAGAAGTGCCTTGCCAAGGGTGTGGCCATCTGCTCACCACGTTACAAGGCCCACCAGACGCTGGAACCGCGACCTAGTTTGCGTGTATCCGTTACTGCCATTCATTCAATTCAGGATATAAAGACAGCGTGCACAATTATTGTGACGGAGGCCATGGCTACGGCCAAGGAACTTCGCGCCACGTATCCAAAGGACGCAATTCCTCAAAATGGTCTACGGCTGCGCAATTAGTGAACGCACTTGTGAGGCGATGAAGGTTTAGGTGCCATCAAAAGGTTGACCCTTTATTCAAGGAATCTTGACGTTTACTTGTGCTGTACTTGACTTATTGTCGATTGTTGTTGTCCTGCATTTCCTTCTCGCGCTGTTTACGGTAGATCTCAAATTGCTCGTCGTTGGTGAACTGCTGTAAGCAGGCATTCAAGGCTTTATTATGATCGCGACATTTGAAAACAACCATAAAACCGCTGGCTTTGGCGCACTTCGCAAATTGCTCGGAGACGCTGCGGCACTTGGCGATGGCAATGTCACTAAGCTCCTGCTTTAATTTCTGCGCTTGTATCCCCAGCCAAAACAGAAATCGTCAGCTTAGATGCATTTCAGTCAGATATGGTGGCTGCGAAGCATACATGTTCAGCTTGGTTGCTCCACGAAAGACGTGACGAGCGAAACTTGGCTTTTGCTGTCTCCTTATCGACGCTATGCTCCATGTCTAAATACAATGAATGTCTTAGTGTATGGCCATGCTAAATATGTATTAAATACTAACGGATTTTCCAGATTGGAGTTCATGACTTTTATATAATAGTACAGGTCAAACAAATATTGTAGTGACGATGTAAAAATAGCAATTCTGGTCTTCGAAATGCGTCGCAAACTCTATAAAATCAAAAAAGCTTGCAATTCTATTGAAGATAGCACCGACATCAGCTCGCTACCGCATGTTTGGGCCCATGATGGATCGCAGGCGCTGTCTGTGAGAATCTACTCTATACAAACATTCTAAGAGGTGAATCAAATTGTGCTCAAGTGAGGCAGATCATTTTATGCTTTAGTGACTGCTTCCAAATCATCAATCACGACTCGTCTATAACATCAAGGCTGAAAACATACTGCTGTCACCACTCGACTTCAAGCGTTTTCGAAACAACGTACCTTAAAAGTCATGTCGAGCAACACACCAGCCTTTTTAGTTGTCTGCAAAACCAGCGCCATCGACGAAATTAATGACAACATCTCTGTCAGTCTGTGCCCATGTCTTGCGGACCCCCAAACACACCGACTTCACTGACGGTGGTTCGGGATTACCATACCCCGGTATATACCACCAGGTCACTCTGCTTCCACGCATTGCATTCAGTGTACAGAATGTTCTTGAAGTATCGATAAATTACCAGCCTAGAGATGTGAGTCCACCAAACATTACACACATCTTGATATCGCACGTCTGGCACTACACGTAGACTTCCTTCGCGATGTAAGCTCTTATCGAGTCCCAATCAAAAGATTTCCAAAACTGACATTTACGATAGGAAACTGTAACTTGATCTAGCGCAAAAGTAGCAAACCACCAGCCACGCCTAATTCTAGTTTGTGACATACACTAAATCAATTTTGCAAAGGTAGACTTATTAGCTCCTTACCAGATCAAAGTCGTAACAGTTTCTTATCGGTTGCGCTAATTGCAAGAATGACAGTGATGCGCATGGATGGAGAATTCTGTTGAGCAAACGATCATGACAAACAATAATAGCGTCAACTGTCTGTGCCTCTTCCCTGTACTCGGCGATTTCATCAATTGACACCGTCAAATCGAGATCCATACGTGGCTGCTGCTCTTACAGAAACTGCATGTAGTGGACCGCTCGTTCGCAGAAACCTCCGTCGGTCAGTATGATCAAGTCGGTGCGATGACGTAGTCAAAGAGGCCGCAGCGATCCATAAAATTTGAAATGCAGTACTGTGACACAGCGAGAGTTCTTTCAGGATGTCGTCTTTACGGAGAGTTGCATCAAAGGCAGCGCCCATGTCGAAGAATCACGTCTTAGTCATTATTGTTCTTAAGGTGCTTGCTTGTGAATTTATCATAAGGAATATCGCTTATGGTGTTGTGTAACGGGGTTACACGTACCCTGGTAACAGGGGTATGTGTCCCCCGAGATGGGCATGGTGTGACTGCACCCAAATAGAATACGGAATGTGACAGTAGTTATGCATGTATTTAGATTTTACTATACATATTTAGGAAAATCTATACAATTAGAATTAGGCGGCCTTGCCCCAGATAAAAATAAATAAAGTCAGTTTAGGATTTTAAACAAAAGAGTTTATTTGCCTTGATTAAGGCAATAATTACTCTTGGAGTAAGCGGATTGCGATCCGCTAAACTCGTTCTTGTTCTAAGTATAGAACGAAAGTTCGGTGACGCTTCCTCAACGCGCAAAGCTACGACAGCCCCGCTGCACTTGATAGCACTTGTAGTCAATCTGCACCTGAGTCGTTTAGACCGATCCTCTGCGAGGATGGAACAATTTTAATCTTTGCCCCCAGGGCATGCACGACGAGCTTATCAAGCTGATGTCCTTGCTTGGCCCTGAGGGCGTGCAACACCTTGCGGCGCAAGGTCCCGAGGCAATCGGTGCGCGTCTTAAGGCGTTTTCAAAATACGAAAACGCGCTGCTAGAGCACATGCAGCAGAAGATGTCTTTATCATTTGCTTCTATGACGCCACCGTCAGTGACAGATGACATTCCCCGTCCTAAGCCGCTCATGGTGAGCGCTAAGGTCCTTGAGGGAAAAGGTGGAGAGAATCTCCTGCTCTGGGGGAGAGAGGTCGAGATGGCCACCGCATTCGCCATGCTCCAAACCGAGCAACAGCGCGTAGCGCTAGCCATCTCAAAGCACGGTGGTCGAGCACGAGAATGCTTACCGACGGTTAAAACTGCATTTCCCTCCTGGGCGGAGCTGAAATTGCAGCTCTCACCAGTGTTCTTGTCGCCTAATCAGGCATATCGTATACGACCGCGTTACCTTGCCGCCCGACAGGGCAACAAGGAATTGGTGAACTTTGTCCAAGAGCCGCGCACCCTCATTGACGGGATGGCAGCAGATCTT